TGATTGATTGATTTTATGTTTCTTAGTGTCTACTAGACAATGAATTTCCCTCAGCCTGTTATTTTATTTGTCTTTTTGTAGTTGTGCTGTATTCTATGGGCGAAGTAACACCTCTGTCTCTCCCTTTCTCACTCTGTTTCTCCCTCTCTCTGTCTCTTTCTCTTTCCAAAACAATTATTGAGCTCTGGCTATGTGCTAAAAAAAACACTTTGCTTGATGCCAGAAGTATAAAAAAGAGTACAGAGAGAAAACTCAGATTCTACCAGGGAGTCATTTTGAGCCAAGAAGGCTGGCCCTCACCAAGGGAGGGTCCTCGGGAATATGATAGGCACAAAGGTCAAGGCAGCCACAAAATATGTAGAGTACACAGAAGGAGGCAGTAGACTTTGTATCTCGGGTAGAGTAGGCTCAAAGGAGGCAACGCCAGAGGTAAGCCTTAAAGAATGAGCAAGAGTAAGCCAGGTGCAGAGGGGAGGTGTAGATGGAGGTGTTCCAGGCAGAAAGGAGAGGAGGAGCAAAGTTCCAATGCCAGAGAGTACGGTGTGTGTGGGCGTGTATATGTGAGTGTATTTTTAAGTGTAGAACCATGGGCTTCCCATCCATGAGACATTCTCCGCATTTATCCTTTATCAATTATAGTTCGCAGTAGGAGAAAATCAGTAATTGCAAATCTGATGTCATGTGGGAAAATGTCTTTTAATGTAAGACAGTATGGGCAGATATCCATTCATAATTTGTGGTAAGCCTAAGTACCTTTTGAGAATATCATGTTTCTGTTTTAAGAGTGAACGCTGTGCCATTATGTAATTTGAGCTCTGACCATATGCTGTCGATTTGGAGTATGTATAAAAGAAAGTGCAAGTGTCATCAATGCAGAAAATCACTAGAAGTTCAGAGCCATGTTTCCGTCTTCCCACTTCTTTTGTTTTGTGATCTGCCCGAAAGCCTAATACAAAGCAATGTGCCAGCAATCACTTGTGTATGTTTTTATTTTTGAAGTTCTTAAATACTTTCTTATCTTTGAGACTTTTAAAAGAGTGGAAACATTTGCCAGATGTGAGCCAATGGGGAGAATAATAGGTGCCATCTGGAGAAATATTCAGGTGCATCATAAGGAGCTAGAGAAATAACAGCTCTGGAAAGTTGAATTTCTTTCTGATATCAGAACCTACCATTCAATTTTTGTATTCTGTTTATGGCAAATTCAACTGATTCTGACTGTGTATTTAGGTGACTTGGCGATTCAGTGGTTAAATGGCATGTAAAGCTCATTTGAGGATCTCATGGAAGCCAAACTAAAGTACTTGCTTAAGAGACAGTATGAATATTTATGAATGTTGTTCATTATTCTCATTTAGGAACGATAATGAAGCCACCATTAGAAATGAATGTGCTTTTTCTGGAATCATTTTTAAAGGTAGAAAAGAAAATAAATAATATTTGATAAAATTAAAATAGTGGAAACACATCTAGGAAAATTACCATATAAATATCTTCTACATACATTCATAAATTCTCATCCTTATTTGTTTTGACCTCTTCTCCTTCAGTGGTTATTTCATTTTCTGTTAGCTGATTGGTAGACTTGGAGGAGGAAAAAAATATCCTGATTGAGAAGTGAGTTGCCATGGCAACCTTGCACTACAGTTATATTTTTCTGTCTGTAACTATAAATGGTAAAATGTAACCTTTCTAATTATGCTGCAACATTTTTAACTCTATTGGTACCAAATCCCCTACAAAATCTGATGTCATGCTAAATAAAAGCGATACATCTCATTTTTATCTCAACAAAAAAAATCTTTATATTAAGTGGAATCTCTTTTGTAGAAATTAAGATTCTATAACACACAATAAAATATCAAAATGTAGTGATTGAAAAATCTTACCTGAATGCCTAGATTGCTCTTTCTAAACATTCAGAATAATTAAAATTTTAGCCTGAGTTTATTATTTTTAAAATGTGTTATTTGAACAGAACAAGGAGAAACCTAATTCAGAATGTGTAAATGAAGGTCTTCACCTTTAACAATGAATTATTTTTTCTTCAGTCCAATGGGAACCACCTAGACAGTCCCTGATTTCCTAGCACTAGTTTTAAGGAACTCAAACATTCAAACAGCAAATACAAAGCGGCCCTGCTTTGCCCAACCCAGATTCCCACCTCCCCTCCCTCTCTTGGAGCTCCTGTTGCCTCCACCCCTGCCAGGGGAACTCCTGGAAATATGAGAAAGCAGGGAAGCTCCAGGCTCACAAGTAGGATAGAGAAAGAAGCTATGAGAATAGGATACCTAGGGTCAAGCACTCTGTCAAAACTTCACCTTGCTCCAATCATAAAAACCAAATTATTTGATTTTTTTTTAAATTATTTCACCATTTAGTAGTATTGCTGAAAGTTCTTTCAACTGGAGATTGTACATTTCACATCAGTTAGAAGCATGTCAGATTAAAGCGGCTGTCGCTGGTCATTCAAATCTTAGTGTCAATTACATAAATCAGGTTTCTATCCTGCTAAAGCTGGGCAGAATTAGAGCATGCTGAGGGAATGGAGTTTTGCGTTGTGTGGAGGGGAGTGGAAGATGGCTTTGAAAGAAGGAGGCTGGGAGGCTTGAGTATGGTGAAGTATAGGTGATTGGGACATGCTGTGGCTTAGGATTTGGGGGGAGGACAATGGAGGTGGGAGACGGGGTGAAAGGACCAACATTTTACTTGACGACCCCTCTTTGTCCTCTCATCCCTCTGTCTCCTCTCTTAGCTATATGCAGAACATCCCATAAATGGAATCACACATGATATACAGCCTTTTCATATTTTTGCTTGTGTTCGTTTGTCATCTGCGTGTCTTCCTTGGTGAAGTGTTTGTTAATTTTTTTTTTTTTTTTTTTTTGAGGTGGAGTTTCATTCTGTTGCCCAGGCTGGAGTGCAGTGGTGTAATCTTGGCTGACTGCAACCTCCACCTCCTGGGTTCAAGTGATTCTTGTGCCCCTAAGTTGCTGGGACCACAGGTGTGCGCCACCATGCCCAGCTAATTTTTTGTGTTTTTAGTAGAGACAGAGTTTCACCATGTTGGCCAGGCTGGTCTGGAACTCCTGACCTCAGGTGATCTGTCCGCCTTGGGCTCCCAAAGTGCTGGGATTACAGGCATGAACGACCCCGCCTGGCCCAAATATCTTAAATTTTTTGCCAATTTTATTTCTGCTGGTTTGTTTACTTTTTGTTGAGTTTTGAGAGTTTCTAGAGTTTCTAAAAACACATTGTGCTTGGGAGCCCTTTGTCAGATATGAGAATAGCAAATATTTTTTCCAGTGTGTGCCTTTTCAGTTCTCTTAACAATGCACTTTTCAGAGCAAAAGTGTTTTTTTTTAATTTAATGAAATCCAATTTATCAAGTTTTGTTAAATAAATTCAGCTTTTGGTATTATACTTAAGAACTCTTTGCCTAGCTAATGATTACTAAAGTTTCTTCTGTTTTCTTCTAAAAGTTTTGCAGTTTTGTGTTTGACATATAGATCTGTGATCCATTTTGAGTAGATCCTTTTTGATGCTAGCATTTTTTTAGTGCCATTTGATAATAGCTGGAATATTTTTATGTCTTTGAGAAAACGTCTAAGGACAAAAAGCTGCTATGACTTAAGCAATCCTTAAATTTGTGTATCTTTGTATCTACTGACCAATATAAGTTGACTCATGTTCTTATAGAGGCAACTTAAATTTATATTTTGTTAAACACAACAGCATCTACATACATTTGAAAAGCGCAGTACATGAATGTCAAGGTACTTGTGGAGTTGAGGATTCCTTGCACCGTCCCCCTCGGTCATGTAGTGGCTTACCATCCACAGATCTGGGTCAGTCTCTTCCTTTTACAGTCAAATAAGCAGAGTCTCAGAGTGAATCGGAGTGTTTTCCAGAGTCGAAGAGAAAGTTGGTGGAAAAGCTAGTTTAAAATCTAGAATCTAGATCCCTAGAATTCTAGTCCAGTGCATGGTCCATTACTTGGTTATGGTTTACTGAAGTGGCCACTGGCCACTAGAAAGCGAGGCATCATGGCAATAACCATTTGTTTGAACATGTGCCTTGCATTCTCCAAATTCTGTGAAGGCATGGATTACATCTATTCTAGTCTTTAACTGCCTAATTACATCTCATATACTGTTATGTGTCCTAATATAACTGGGGCACTTGTGGAATTTTTGAGCAAATGGGTCCTTCCTTGGGCAAAGCAATATTTCAGATCAAACAGTTTTTAATAGATTTGCCTTGAAAATACCTGGATGAGTATTGGTTGCCTACAGTATGATATACAGAAAAAAGCAAGGGATTTAACATCAGAAAGACCAGTTTGAAACCCTGGCTGCCCCACTTACTAGCAGTGTGACCCAAGGCAAAATTTTTCAACTTTTTGAGCCTCAATAAATAATAATAATAATAATAACAACATTGATAACACACATTCCACAAGTTAGAATGTATGGATTGAATAACATCCGGTATGTGAGAGCCTGGCAAAGCTGGCATGTTACTGAGATTCAATAAACATAAAAGTTTCATCTTCTTTGCCATTGTTGGTATAAAAATTCTATTTGTTAGATACAAAAGCTAAGCACAATAGACAGTAAAAACAAAATTCACAGTTAAATGTTAGAGACAATCACTCCTTGTTCTTCCTAGACTTTTGCTGTGGCAATAGACACGTTCATACAGCCAGACTCGAACAGAAGTCACAGAGCCAAGCATGTTATAGAAAAAAGCCATGAGGAGAGATGTGATCTTTGAAGCAACACATGGAAATGAAGAGATATTGACAGCTTTCTTTACAGTGTTATTTCTTTCAGTGTTGGCCTTTGAGCTACAACTGCAGTGTTCACATGTTTCTTGTGAAATCTGCCTTTTTTGTTTCTGAAAGCTCATCATGATAGCCACTTGTGTGGTGGCATAGATCCTGCAGGAGCCTTGAGGGGTCTGGGGAAGGGTGAAAGGGAGAGCCAGGGTCAACTTACCGGAGCTTGAACATTGCATCTCAAAGCAGAATTCATTGAGAATCATTCCCATGAATGTCTCTTGTTTCCTTCTCTTGAAAACATTCTGGCTGCAGCTTCCTGCCTCACTCTTGTATTTGAATTCCCCTGCTTGGCATCACATCATCCTCCTGGCATGACATGAATGACTCTTCTCATTGCCCGCCCCACCCCAGGGCTTGAGTTCTGTCATCTGTGGCTGTCATTGCAGAGATGCAAATGAAAGCTCCTTTGAGGTAAATGGAAGTCAACATGGCATCGCCTGGCTCCTGGCCCAGCAGGGGTGTAAATGCATCACCCTCGGAAATAAACATGCTTCCCTGCTTTTCTTGGCCTTCATAACTGCACATTCGTCTTTCTCTTTCCTGTGTATTCTCCAGACCATCTCAGAACTACTTCTACTCATCTCTACTCTCTGATCCACCCCATCCATATTTACCTACCTCTTTGGGGCCCTAGACATTCAAAATTGAAGAAATTCAGTATGTCATTAACGTGATTCTAGCATAGAATAGTAAAGCTTGGCACCATCCCATTTCTACTTTTTGTAATCCTCCTTTTCACCTTGTTACTTCTTTCTCGCCCGTCCTCAGACATCTAGGGTTCTGCACAGCTTCATTATTATTCAGGACTGACCACCTCCTTCTCCCTTTCCTCTGCCTCTGGAAGGAACACATGTAACCAATGAGTCCACGGAGATACACTAAAGACTCTATCATGTGATACATACACCCAACACAAGGATAGTTTCTGAGAAAAGAAGACAGTGGCAATACAAACAAAATCCTGGAGAATATGCCACTAAGCCAGGATGGGGAGACTATTTTGATGTAAATTGCTCTTCCAGAAATATCACATGACACAATGACTCAGTCAAGTACCTGGCACCTACTAGGTGTCCTGTAATGGGATTGACATTGGATTTCTCCTATAAGGAAGCTAAGCTTGCACAGATTTTGAAAATTGCAAATCCCTCTTTGGTACCCATTTCCTCCCTGCCAAACAGAAATTCAGCCAATCACTTCCTCCTTCATTCTTATGTCATACACAATCCTAGTACTTGGGATATAGCTGTCCTTTTAGGAACTTTCAGTCCAGTGTGGGAACAGAATATCATGTGTAGTCCAGAATAGTGTGATATGTGCTGTGAATAGGGTGGTTACGGGGGAGTGTAGGGATGTACCCAGCACGGCTTTGGGTATCACTGAAGATAGTTACTCCTAAGCCAAAGTCTGAAGGGCAAGGAGAGAATTTCCAGGTGAAGAGATGAAGGAGGTGCTCCATAGCAGGGAGAGAATATGGTGGGGTGTTTTAGGAAGGGCAAGAGTTTGTCACATCTGCAGCCCTGGGGTCGTGTGGGGTGAAAACAGCAACCACTACAGCAAATGACACTATTTCCTGTGGGGAAGCCAGGCAGTCCACACCCTCTTCTGGCTTCAATGTCACCTTAAGCATAAGAGCCAAGAGACCCACCATGCTTGGTGCTCCGCTGCCCGTCACCCAGGGCCTTACTACCACTCTGCTGAGAGGTCTTCAGGACTCATTCCATCATGTCCTCCATCCCTATGTCCATAGACTGTCATTGAAACCCTAGTCAGGTCATTTCTTATTGCCTGGACCATCCCCACAGAGCTCTGTACCTCCCTGAACCTGACTCAACCTAATATCACACTGAAATCTCAAATTCTTCCACTCCACCTTGATGAGTGTGTCATTTGTCATTGCCAAAATCCTCCACTCCTCAGCATCCCCTCTGAATGATCTCCCACCTTTTTATTAGGCTCTTTCAGAGGACCCTGCTTCCACAGCCTCTGTCTCAGCAAGGACCGTTTTCCCCCCAAACTGACATATTCACAGGGTCTGGAGGAAGATAGGGGTCTCGTTTGCTTCTCCTCACCACTTCCTGTTAATTTTAGCTCTCTTCTCCCTGAAACTCCCCATCTCATTTGAAGCCATGCCCTCGTGAGCTTCTCTTCTTCGTTGGAGTCATCTGAAGGTCTCTGAGACACTCACACTCATTCTTTGAAGACTTCAGGACCAGACTCACTGTCTTTTACAAACCCTCCTCCTGCCATAATGTTTGGTGATTTCAAAATCCATGCAGAGGATCCTTCCTCTCCCTGGCCTCTCACTTTCATGACCTTCTCCCTGATGATCTTGTCCTTCCCGCTACTGCAGCCATTGATAGATCTTGCCCTGTAATTAACCATATACCCTACAATATCACAAAACTTCTATTTCAAAGCTTTCCCTCTTTGGATCCTGCTTTCTGTCTATCCAGCTCACTCCCTTCAGTCCTTTGATTCCAGGAATTCTGCAGCCCTACCACTATCACCAACCCATTAATTCTACCAGTTTTTTCACAGTCCCCACCACTCATATTCTCATTTCCCTCCATGCCCATCCAAACTCCACAGCCCCCATGGTAACCCCTTCCTTGCAGACCCCTTCCGCTCCCTTGCCATCATTCTCTTTGTTTCACTCACTTAGGTGAATTGTAAATGTGGCTAATGGTAAATCCAACTCGGTCTATTTTGTTTCTTCTCCCCAAACAGCTAAATATGGCAGGAGAAAACAATGCCAGATAACCTTACTTTAAGCCCATGAATACTAACCTAAACTGAGCCATTGGTATGGCCCAAGGATCTTCAAGAGGCAGCAGAGCGTGTGGAGAGTTTATGCACCTGATTCCCAGTTCAGATTCCCAGCTCTGCCCCTTATGGGCTGTACCATCATGAGATATTTACTTTTATGTTATTCGCTTCGATGTTTTAATCTGTAAAGTGGGAAGAATAATAATACTTATCTGGGATTTCAGTGAGGATTACATTAGTTAATATATGTAAAGTGCTCAGAAAAGTTCCTGGCACATAATGATCTCATACACTGGCACATCATCATCATCATCATCCTCTTATTACATTTCCTGGTCCCCTTACTCTTCTGCTTTCCTAGAAAACCATTTCACACATTTTCTCTCCCTCAGCCCTAACCCCTGTTCAACCTCCTCGCTTTGACTCAATTATCTTGATTATTATTTTACTGAGAAAATAGAAGTAAACAAAAGAGAACTTTCTCCACTCTGAGTCAATGAACATACCCCAGCTATACCCATCTTGTTCTTTCCCTCTTGCTGCTGTGAATGAGCCCTCTGTACTTCCATCTAAGATTGACCACCCACCATGCCTTAGGTCCCATCAATTCTCAAAGACATCTGTCTAGTGATTTCCCCCTCACTCTCCTGCATCAACGATTCACTGGGTCATTCCCATCATCATTTCTACATGCTGTAGTAACCTTCCTCAATCCATCAACCTCGAAGTAGCTACCCGTTTCCCTCTTCCTTCTTCACTGCCAAACCGCCTCAATGCCTCTACTTCCTTGCTTTCCATTTTTTCCTAAATCCACTCCTATAATTTTTTCCCCACCATTGTCCCACCAAAACTGCTCTTATCAGGGTTACCAAAGACCACTCTGTTGCCTAAACTATGGTAATTTCCCAGTCCTTGTTTTTATTTGATTAACGGTAGCATTTGAAATGGCCAATTACTCCTTCCTTGAAACTTTTCTCACTTGGCTTCTGAGATATCATGCCCTCCTAATACTCTTGTTTTCTCCTTGGCCACTCCTCCTGATTCTTTTGCTATTTTCACCTCATATCCTTGACCTCTAAATATTGCAGGGTCTGAGGGTCCAACCCCTGGCCCTCTTTTTGTCTCTACTTACATTGACTCCCTTAGTGATCTCTACCAGTTTCAAGCATTAAATACCATCTCTAAGCTAATGATGCCTGTTATATGCTTTTTCTCCAGATAGCCTTATGGCTTACTCTATTACTTCCTACAGGTCTTGGTTCAAATTTCACCTGACAGAGAGGCCTTCCCAGGCCATTCTAAATGAAATAGTGTTCCCACCCCATCAGTCTATATCTCCTTATTCTGTTTTATTGTTATTATTATTATTTGTACAGCCGTTTTCTTCTTCTGGCATATATTTATTTGTATATTGGAAGCCTTTGAGAACAAGGACAGTATCCAGCTCACAGAGAGCCTTGCATATAGAAAGCTACCTATAAATGTTTGTTGAATAAAAGCACAATCTCATTCAGTCCTGACAATACCCCAACAGTCCTGTTAGAAGGATTATTACAGATGAAGAAACAGAATCAAGTTAACCCATTACCACACAGCTGGCAATTCAGGCAGTCTGACTCCAGCCCACATGCCTACCTACCTTCCTACAGAAGCCAGAAGGGTACACAGGATCACTAGGTACAGAGTTTCTGTTGAGGACACATAGAGAACTGCTGGGGTGGTGGTGGTGGGGAGCACAGGGGAGTGACATTCCCTTAGTAAGGTGCTGACTCCATCCAAAATTTGCACATAATTGCCCATCTCCAGTTCTTAGGTCACTAAGTCCTGCCAACTCAGAGGCTCCTTTGGTGCTTCACTGGAAAGTTTAGGCTGACAGTAGATTATATATACGCTTCGTCAGCATCAAACTGGCCTGTGCTGACAATATTTAAGTCAGATTTAGTTAAGAGCTTCAAATCAATGCTACCTTGAGGTCCCTGAAATTAAAACCTTTTCTTGCTGTTTCCCTAGCAGCCTGATAGTTGACATAATCCCCAAAGAAGCTTATATGTTAATACTTAAGAACCATTTACAGTTCTCATGCACTGCTGGCCCAAAATGCCATGACTTGAGCTAGACATACTAGCAAAATATTGAGCTATTTAAAGAACATAGTGTAGTTCAAACTATAGTGAAAGAGGATAGGGTTTTCAAGAATCTGATTAAATAAAAGGATTTAAAATACACATATTTTAAATATTTGACTTCTTAGTGCTCCATAGATTCTGACCTTTCAGGTACCTCGCTCATGGGGATTGTAAGACACAAAGAATATTTCTATGTAGGCAATAAATGCACTCAGTTCAAAGATGCTCACATTTACTATGTTTCCATGGTGAAATGAACTGCTGTTTTCTGTTTTAAAGGGAACCAGGTTTTCACCCTCCAATACCTCCAAAGCCCAGTTCTCCTGTTTCTTCTCCTAACCAGCTGAGAGGGGATAATAGGTAAGACCCAGTACTCCAGAATTTCTTGCCAAAATGAAGTTCAAGGGAAGTGAAAATAAATGGACTGTGACCTGCTCTGTGCAAAGCATGGATGTTTTGTGTGCGCATTCCCTAAAGAAGCGCCTGTAGAACTTTTTATAACTCATAGGTGTATTTATGTTTGCCTTTGAATACTAATGGCTAACTTGTCTGAAGGAAATATGCCTTCAAGATAAAAATGGAACAATATTCATGTTCAGAAAGTGTGCACAGACTTTTTATTTATTAGCACCTAATATACAAATATAAATATACATACATATTTGGCACATATTATATATAATATAAATATAAACCCTATTAAAACTATATTTTTTGTTCATGTTTGTTCCAAGTTAAGTTTCC